CACACTACTACAGCACATTCCATCAATGATAGCAAGAATACTCAAAAAAACTAACCTGTTGATAGTTTGTAATAATAGATCTCATTTGTATGCTGCATCCCAGCTGCGACAAGGTTTTTCTGCCAATACTGAGCACTGGGTTGCTTAAGTGTATTGTTATATGCCGGGCCGTATACCCCGATCAATACAAGGTAGCTCTCGCGATCAAAATGTATCGGTACCATGCCACAGTGGTGCTTCATTCTCAGGCCGTGGTGAGGAGTGGTTGATGAGAGTAGCTTCCAAGTGAGGGTATCAACATTGAAACTGTATATACAGGCTGTTGTGGTAGCAGTCGTCGTGATTGCAATAGCCTCCATAATAAAATATTTCATTCCCAATGACTGCTGATGCATATCCAGAGATGCCAAGTGGTGGGATACCAATTGTTGCTTTCTGCTCCCAGGCTCCTGTTGGTAAGTGGTATACTTCAATGACGGATGACATTGCTTTCTTCTTTTCATTGTTGTGAGCTCCTAGGAGATCTGGCTGGATACCACCCCACATGTACAGGTAGTCCCCTACCTTTAGTGTCGAATGACCACTTCTGTCCACTAGCTGATAGTCCGAGAAGAGAGATAAGCCAACTGGAAGGCTCTGCCTTACAGCGGCCATATCGACTTCAATGGTTTGCTTGTAATTGTTTACTTAGTGCAATTAATTGAAGGGACAGCTCATTCACACCCACTTGCAATAATAGTGTGATTGACTGTAATTAAAGTTTGCCTTTGCTACTGAGAAAATGTGGTTTAGCTATCTGAGATGCATGGAGTCACGGAGGACAAGCTTTTGCTACCTGTCTGACTGTGCAGCAGGTATCATATTTATTAGTCTTTTAACTAGATGCATTGAAGTTCTTGAGCCAATTGCAGGTATTATTAGTGATATAATTGCTGCTAAAGTGAAAAGAGAGAGAATCCTCCATTTTTAGAATAGGTAGGGGAAGTGACATCAGTTCACGTATCAGCGCTATGCAGCTAGCTATAGACCTTTTCACGATACGCGACTGGTGGAATGTTAATGAGATGTAAATTGTATTCACGATAGGGTGCGGTCAGATTACACCCACTGGGGGGAAGATTATAGCTGTGTCTATGGAGGAGATGCCTAAAAGCTGCTGTTTAGTTAAATGCAATGACTGGTTGAGCAAGAAAAAGGGATTAAAGGTCTTTAGATTCCTTCTTAATGATAAGGAATGCTGTAAAAGATGGACAACAGCTGTAGATGAGAGCACTGCAGCAGCAAAGAAGAGCTCCATGATATATGATGATCATTTGTAATGAGCATTACTGGAACTTAACCAGTATTACTGGTAAGACATTTTGGTATATAGTCCAAGTACTCACTTATTTAATCGATCT